GAGTGATGTGCACTCTCACCCTTACTATTCAATATAGCATCCTGACATTTTAACCAGAACCATTAGGCAAGAGATGGAAATAAAGGGGATATAAATAAGAAAGGAAGAAGTCAAATTAACACTGCAAATGATATGATCCTGTATCTAGAATATGCAAAAAGCTCCACCAGAAGCCTGGCAGAAAAGATAAACAAATTAGCAAAGTACCAGAACACAAAACCAATACAAAAATATCAATAGCTTTTATATACACCAATAATAAAGCTGCTGAAAAAGAAATCAGGAAAACAATTTTATTCACAATGGCCTCAAAAGAACAACAACAAAAACAAAACAAATAAACAAAATCCAAAAAACAACAAAAAGCCCACTTAGGAACAAATCTAAACAAAGAGGTGAAAGATCTCTCCGATGAAAATTAAAGAACACTGAAGAGGACATTAGAAGACAAAGATATATCTCAAGTTTTGGCTATGTGATCTATAATTACCATCAAAATACCAATGACATTTATCAGAAAACTAGGAAAAGAAATCCCAAAATTCATATGAAAGAATAAAAGACCCAGAATAGCCAAAGCAATTCTGAGTAAAAGAGAGCAATACTGAATCCATCACAATTTAACATTTCAAATTATACCACAGAGCTATAGTAACAAAAACAGCTTGGTACCAGCATAAAAAGAGACAAGCAGACCAATGGAACATGTAGACTCAGACAAACCCACACAGATATCTGAAAAAGGCACAAACAACATATGCTGGACAAAAAGACAGCATTTTAAACTAATGGTGGAAAAACTGGGTATCCATATGTATGTCCCTCTCACTCTGCATAAATGTCAACTCAAGGTAGATCAAAAACCTAGAAATTAGACTAGAAATTTTACAATTGCTGAAAGAAAACATAGGAGAAACACTCTAACAATATACAGGCAGGCAAAAATTTCCTCAGTAGGACTCCTAAAGCTCAGGAAATAATACCAAGAATGAAGAAATGGGGTAGAATCAAATTAAAAAACTTCTGTACAGAAAAGGAAACAAAAGTATAAACAGATGGCCTGCAGAATGGAAACAATTTTTTGCCATTTACTCTTCTAACATTGAGAATCTATGAAAAACTCAAAAAAACATAAATAAAAACCCTGACCAATAAGTGAGAAAATGAATGAAAAAGATATTTCTCAAAAGTAATAGTACAAATGGCCAACAACTATATGAAAAAATGTTCAATGTCTTTAGCAATTAGGGAAATGCAAATCAAAATTACACTGAGTTCCAGGATTGTGGCTCAGTGGTAAAGTGCTTGCCTAGCATGTATGAGGCACTGGGTTCAATTCTCAGCACCACATATAAATAAATGAATAAAGGTCCATAAACATCTAAAAAATTTTTTTTAAAAATACTTTTAAAAATTAAACTGAGATTCCGTCTTATTCCAGTTAGCATGGCAACCATTAAGAATACAAACAACAATAAATACCATTGAGGGTATGGGGAAAAAGAAACTCTTACACAATTTGTATAATCACATAGATAATAGTATGGAGCTTCCTCAAGAAACTAAAAATGGAACCACATAAGACCCAGCCATATCACTCCTCAGTATTTATCCAAAACAATTAAAGTAACCGTACGTACTATAGTGACACATACACACCCATGTTTACAGCAGCACAATTCACAATAATCAAGTCACAGAACCAGCCTGAGTGACTATCAGTAGATGAATGGATAAGGAAAATGCCATAAATATACACAATGAAGTTTTATTCAGCCATAAACAAGAATGAAATTATGTCATTTGCAAGAAAATGGATGAAGCTGAAGAACATCCAGTTCAGAAAAATAAGCAAAGCTCAGCAAATCAGGGGACATTTTTTCTCTCATAGGTGGAGGTTAGAAAGAAGGGAAAAAAAAGATCTTATGAAAACAGAAGGGAGAACAACAGAGCACAAGATGAGGGTCAGGGAGAGGGGAAAGCTAGAGGAAGCCTTGGGAAGTGAAATTGATAAAATTACGTTTTATGTACATGAGCAAGTATGTCACAATGAATCACAGTGTATATAATTATTAGGCATTAATAAAAAAATTTAAAGAAATATATATACAGACATATAAGTATGAATATAGAAAAATTTTTGTTTATAGATCAGTCCTAAAAGAATATACAAAAAAAGGAAAGTATTAGTTATCTCCAGAGAAGGTAACCAAGTAGGTGAAGAAGCATTTTTATCATATATCCTTTTATGCTTCTGTGTTTTCTAACATAAAACTATATACCACTTTTTAAAAATTAAGTTTAAATAAAAACGATTTTTCTTGTTGTTGTTTATTTTTGAGAGAGGGTCTTGTGCTATATGCCCAGGCTGGCTTCATATTTACAATCCTTTGCCTCAGCCTCCTGAGCAGCTGGGATTACAGGCACGTGCCACAATGCTTGGCAATAAATTACGTTTAAAGTCTCAAATTTAATAAACTGTTCTTTAAAAAACAGAGCATAAAAGAAAACTGATCAACCCAAATAATTTCCCTTTTCTTCACATGCTTTATTATTTTCCAAATTTCATTGATCATTGAAATTTGCCGTTTGACCAGAAATTCATTTGAAAAACTAATATCATCTAAAAAGTTTTAAATATGTATAAAATCATAGATAAAATATAAAACTTCTGAATTCTCATTATCTGTTAATACTATTTTGCATTTAAAAATTTTTAATTAGAAACTTAAAATATTCTAAAATTTCATAAAGCATACTGTCATGCCATACTCATATTACCATCCTGTTCATTTTTAAAGATTTGTTCCACCTCAGGGCTAAGATTCAGTCACAATACTGGGAATAGTCTTTCTATCTGTCCTATTCCAAAAGCTTTAAAGCAACCAATGACATCAGTAGTTTTGTTCTCTCTCTCTCTGTTGTTGTTGTTGTTGTTTGGAGTTGTTTACAAATGTGTATCCTTTATGAGTCACAGAATATGTGAGTATAGATAGTAACTCAGAGAAATCAACTATATGGACAGAGTATTCCCTATTCCCACTCCAACTTTAATGGGGCAGCTAGGGAGGCCCACAAGAAAATCTTAGCCTCACTCTCACTCTAAGCAAATAACTGGCAAAATAGACACTTGAAACCAAGGTAACCAATGAGTGATCAATAACTAATCCCAAATAATAATTTAAAGTATGCACAGAGGGTGGGGGATAGGGAGTGGCGGTGGGGTGGGCCTGGAAAGAGACTAGAAAAGCTACAGCAAAGAAGAAAAATTGAATGAAATGAAAAGCTCTTCAGAGCGTGGGTCAGTTGAGTTAACAGAGTTCCAAATCTGTCCATATATTTGGAAATAATATTAGACTGTGAGTGGATAGAGCCCTATGGCTACAAAAGAAAGCTCACTTTCTTAAGCCACTGCCTGAGGTTGGGTATGCCAGAGTAAGTAAGCATGGGAAAGAACTGAAACCAATATTAGACTCAATGAAATTAAGCTTTCATCTTGCAGGAAGTCTTCACTAAAATTTAATTTCAACTATGTTACACAAATGGAACAATTATTTTAGATAATGAACAGTCACAAAAATGCTGAAAGAAAGTTGGCTGATAGATTATACCATGTTAAAATATAGTACTATTTTTCCTAAAATTGTGATGATTACCATCACAATTCAGTAGCAGCAACTTGGGGGGATACAAAACAGATGAACCTATATCACTCCATGAAACTGCATGTCAATACATTCTGCCTCTGAAAGTAAGGAGAAAGAAGTTTCACTTCTGTGGTTCCTAATCACTTCAAAATATTGGGCCTTTATTTACCTTCATAATCTTATATAAATTGATATATTTCATCATTTTAAATCAATAAAATGGGGAGATGTGTATATTCCTCTGAAATTCTTTTTGAAGTGTTATAATAAAGCACATTTAAAAAGTCAAGATAGAACTCTGAAAAGACACACATTAAACTCAAGATCTCAAAATGCCACAAAAATAATTTAAGACCAGATTATATTAAGAGTATTTCCAAATTACAGTTTAGATAAAAAGATTCTAGGGCTAGGAATATAGCTTAGTGGTTAAAAAAAAAAAAAAACAAAAAAACATGCATATTAGCATGTTTAAGGCCCTGGGTTTGATTCCTGGCAAAACACAAACACACACACACACACACACACATAGTGATTTTTCTTATATACTAAGACATCCCTTCTTTTTGAGGGGGTAGAGGAGGACACAACCAGAGATTGCACTAAGGGGCACTCAACCACTGAGTCACACCCCGAGCCCTAAGTCCTATTTTGTATTTTATTTAGAGACAGAATCTCACTTGAGTTGCTTAGCACCTCACTGTTGCTGAGGCTGGCTTTGAACTCGAGATCCTCCTATCAGCCTCCCAAGCCTCTGGGATTACAGACATACAACACTACACCCAGCTACTGAGACATCCCTGTAACCTCTATTGCCAATCAAATTTTCTGTACCACAAAAGTCTAAAATAGCAGCTAATTACAAAGTGAGTTAAAATTCAGTTTAAAAGTATAATTACACAGAAATATAGATATTCCTAGAAATTCATGATCTATATATTGTGCTTATGATGTTTAAACATTTGACTCTGGAGAAAATATTATGTTCAATTATTTGCTATGTGATTCTAACTCAAAAAGCAGCCTAGCATAGAAACGGTAACTCAATCCAATTTACTAATTCATACTTTTTTTTTTTTTACAGCAAGGAGGTAATTGTTTTTCTTTTGTTATTTTTACACTTGACGCTACTTAAACCTGATAGTCAGTTGGCAAATACTCACTGATAAGAAACTAAAGCTAAACACTGCTTAAGTCAAAAAGTATTTGAATATAAGGAAATCAATGGTTAAATCTACTAGAAATAATTTTTAAAAGCTGCTGCTACCAAATGAGACTGAAAAAATTATTAACAACAACTTTGAAATTGTTGTTAAACTAGCTAGTGACTTCCTGATACTTTTAAATACTCACCGGTGGCAGACAGGAAGTGCCTGGATCTAATAAACTTACAGCTTCATTCTGCATTGTATTCTGCTGGGTAATTGCATCTTCTCGCTTCCGCTCTTTCTGCCCCGCTTCGTCATCTTCGTATTCATCTAAGCACTGAAAAAAAAAAAAAGTTTCCATTTTATTTCCAAGTATAATAGGATTATTAATGTTTTGATGGTATATGCAAATGTATTTGATAGCATCAGAAATCTGTGTTCTTTTCAGCAATATACATACTTAATTCTTGTAAATTAAATCCTTTGCTTAAAACTGGTATCTCTATATTCATATGCCTGGCAATATATCTTTTTCTAAGTTCTCATCACCAGTGACAAGGTTTCTTATAGGGATGAAGTTCACTTGTTCTTTATTAATCTTTCAAGGAGTAATTTGTGTCTATCCTAAATAGGATAGAGGGTGACAAAAGATACATTAGAAACAAGTAATGTATAATCCAGTAAAGAAGATAAGATACATAAAGATAGCTTAGTGACTAAGGTCATTTTATAGTTTACTATTTATGAGAATATAAAATTGGTGCAACCACTATGGAAAGCAGTATGGAGATTCCTCAGAAAACTTTGAATAGAACGGAACCACCATTTGACCCCGTCATCTCATTTATACCCAAAGGACTTAAAATCAGCATACTGCAGTGACACAGCTACACCAATGTTCACAGCAGCAAAATTCACAATAGCCAAACCTGTGGAACCAACCTAGATGCCCTTCAGTAGATGAATGGATAAAGAAACTGTGGTATATATTCTCAATGGAGTATTACTCAGCACTAAAAGAGAATAAAATCATGGCATTTTCAGGTAAATGAATGGAGCTAGAGAATGCTATGCTAAGCAAAATAAGCCAATCCCAAAGAACCAAAGGCCAAATGTTTTCTCTGATATGTGGGTGCTAATTTGCAATGGGTGGGGGTGAGGATAGAGATATTCTGGATTAGAAAGAAGGGAGGAAAGGGTGGGAGGGGGTTTAGGAGTAGGAATGATAGCAGAAAAATTATACATTATTACCTTATGTGCATATGATTACATAACTGTGTAACTCTACATAATGTACAGACAAATGAGAAGTTATACTCCATTTATATATGATGTGTCAAAAATGCATTCTACTGTCATGTATAAGTAATTAGAATAAATTAAAACATATTTTAAAAAAAAAAGAATTCTATGCACAGCAAAATTTCAAAAATAAATGCAAAATAGACTTTTACAATAGCACCTGAGTATTTTTTAAAAGTTAAATGAAGTTCCTTACTAGAATAAAATGATATTACATGGAAATTCAGAACCTTTAAAGAACTTCTCAAGAGCATACGAAATGATAAATACATGAATAAATACAAGAAATTGTATTTTTCTAATTTTTGCCAATCCCCTTATTATATAATAAATTGTTTAAAGCAAAAATAAGAATATTTTTTAAGATTTATAACATCCAGAAAAGTAAAAAAGCATGGTAAAGAAACAAAGGCAGGAGGCAAGATTTAGACGTGGCAAGGTTCTTACTCTTCATATGACAAGTTATAATAGTACACAAACAGACTGAGAAGAGTTAGTTATATGTAGTAAACCCCAGAATGACCACCAAAAAAAGCTTTTCAAACAGGTATGGTAATTAGCCAATACTGAAGAAAATGGAATGATTAAAAAAATACCTGACCCACATGAAGACAAGAAAAAAAGAGGAAGATAGGATAAATAGAAAACAAATACCAAGGTGAAAAATTTAAATCTAACCTCAATAATTATATTAAATGCACATGATCTAGCCATTTCAATTGAAAGGTGGATGTTGGACCTCATTAACCTAGGTACATGTATGACTACACATATGGTGCGACGCCACATGTATAACCAGAGAAAAAAATTGAGCTGCATGTGTACAATGAATCAAAATGCATTCTGATGTCATATATGCCTAACTGTAATAAATAAATTTAATTAAAATAAATAAAGGTGAATGTTATGAGATTAAATAAACTCAAGACATACTAAATATTTAGAGATACAAATATTTTAAACCATGTCGACTAATTTGACTGACATTTATAAAATACTCTATAAAAATAAGGGCTCTTATGGTTCAGTGGTAGATCACATGCCTAATATGCATAAAGCCCAGAGTTCAGTCTCTAACACCACACACACACACACACACACACACACACACCACAAAAATAAGAACATATACTTTTGACAAAAGCACACAATGTTTGCCAAGACAGAAAATTTTCTGAAACATAAACAACATCTCTACAAATGTAAAAATGAGTAAAATCATGCAAAGAATGTTCTCTGACCACTAATGAATTTGAATAAGAAATCAATGACAGAAAGCTGTCTAAAAAATCCTCTAAATATTTAGAAATTAAACAAAGTTCTAAATAATTCTTGAGTCACAGAAATCACAAGAAGAAAATATTTTCAAATGAGTTATTTAAAAAATTAGATTCATGGGCTGGGGATGTGGCGCGCTCGCCTGGCATGCGTTCGGCCTGGGTTCGATCCTCAGCACCACATACAAACAAAGATGTTGTGTCCGCCGATAAATAAAAAATAAATATTAAAAAAAAATTAGATTCAGCTAAAGCAGTGCTTAAACGCAGTGAATAAAAATAAAAACTGAATAAATAAGAACAGACCAATATATCTGATAAAAAACAGACATATTCAAGGGCTGGGGCTGTAGCTCAGTGGTAAAGTACTTGCCTAGCATTGTGAGGCATTGGGTTCAATCCTCACCACATAAAAAGTAAAAAATAAATAAAATAAAGTTGTATAAAAATTTTTTAAAAAATAGACACATTCAATATCAGTAAATATTTGTTAGAAAAAAGAAAAGTCTCAAATCAATGATTTTATCGTAAAAAGCTATAAAAAGGCAAATTAAACCCAAATTCTGTAAATGGAAGGAAAAAATAAGAGTGAAAAAACAATGAAGGAAACTGAAAACAATAGATAAAGTAAAAAGTAAAACCAAAAGCAGTTTTCTGAAAATAATAAAATTAGTAAAACTCTAGCCGAACTGATCAGGAAGAAAAAAAGAAAGAGAAAAAATTATTATAACAAGTGAAAGTGGAAACATCACTAGAAATGATATTTGATGATGACAAAAGATTAAAAGAATATTATGAAACACTCTAATTCCTTGAAAGCTACCCAAAAAAAGAAAAAAGAAAAGCTACCAAAAACCAAATCTTGAATGATCCTCTATGTAATAAAGAAATTAAATTTGTTTAAAAGCCTTCCTACAATGAAAACTTTAAACTATATGGTTGGTAAATTCTATCAAACATTAAAAGAAATACCATTTGTATAAAAATTCTTCCAGAAGGAGAAAATACTTCTCAACTTATAAGATGACATTAATCCAATTACCTCCTCAAAAAATAAACAAAACCTTAATATACAAGAACAGACCAATATATCTGGTTTAAAAAAAAAAAATCTTTACAAAATTTGGGCAAAGCAAATGAAAAATATTAGGAAAGTATAATCGTGACCAAAATAGGATCTATCCCAAGAAAGCATGGTTCAAGTATCAGCACAATTTGCCATCTTTACAAAATAAAGGGGAAAAAGCATACATATAAAATTACCATACATTAATAAGAAGCATGACAGAAACATACATCATCTTGATTAGCTGTCTTAACTTCATCAGGAAAATCCATATATAACATCCCACTGGAAAGTAAAATAAACAGATCTTTTCCCTAAAGGTATTCAGGTTGGTTCCGTACACCACTTCTTTTTTCACCACTTCTATACAGCATTATTATTGTCAGTTCAAGTCAGTAGGAAAAGGTAAACATAAGAAATAAAAGGTGCACATATTTCATTATTTATAGATGGCAGTATCTTCCTCATAGAATATAAGTAGAGCAAGATGACAAAATATAAAATAAATACAAAAATCAATTACATTTTTATACACTGACAACAAAAAAATTAAAACTTTAAAGAAATATTATTTAAAATACTTATGGCCAAATTTAACAAGAAATGCCACAGACATTAAAAACTACAAAATATTGCTGAGAAATATTAAAAAGACCTAAATAAGTAGAAAAATATATGATATTGGTAACATAATAAAAAGAAATTAACCCAATTTAATAGGACCAAAATTTTGAATTGATACTTCAACAAAGAAAATCTAAGAATGACAAATGAACACATAAAAAGAGGTTCAACCTAATAATCTTTAGGGAAATGTGAATTTTAAATACAATGAGTTATCATTATCCACCTACCAAAATGACTAAAAGTAAAGTCTGACAATATCAAGTACTGGTAAAAATTTGGAAAAAACTAAAAATCTCACACATAACTGGTGGGAACTGAAAATGGTACAGCCATGTAGGAAAATAGCTTGGCAGTTTCTTAAATACTTAAATATGCTACCAAATGACCTAAGAATTAAGACTCTGATTACTTAATCAAAATGAAGGAAGGAAAGAAGGAAAGAAGGAAAGAAGGAAAGAAAGAAGGAAGGAAGGAAGGAAGGAAGGAAGGAAGGAAGGAAAGAAGGAAGGAAAGAAGGAAGGAAGGAAAAA